TGCTTCTAGGATGTCAACGGTTCATGTTGGCGTTGGGCTTCGCTGAATCGCATCTGATTGCGCCGCCTTTTTAGGCTGCCTGTGCATCAGTACACACGATGTAAACAGGCTGAATATGGTTAACTATGCACAATGCCTGCTCGGTACTACGTTTATTCTCACTCTCTCTCTCTTTCTCGCGGCCCGAAACATCACTCGTACGGTGGCGCACATTTCTGAAATTTAACAACACCTTCACAATTCTACAGACATTCGTCAAACCAACCATTTATGTACTTGTTTTTAATGGAAGGTTTACTCGTTGCGGCCACTACCTGCAAATGGGGGTTTGTTCAGTCAAATCCGCAAGCCAAGTGCAATACTTAAAAACTAACTATTGAGCCATGTGGACAACTTGTAAGTTCCACTGAATCCTGAGATCAGAAAAGACTTTGTAGATGCAACGCGGAACGCTCGTGCCACTGCAAAACACGTCAACGCAAACTGTTTGCACCTTCCACGAGTTCCGGATTCTCAGCTCATAAATGGAACGTTCCGGGATCCATGCGCCTCCACATATAGATCGGTAGCCATTGTCTTCCTCCTGTATAAAACACGGCTCTGGTGGGTGCTCGCACTGTATTATATATACACAGCCGCTCCAAGTTGGGAAAGATGTACTTAGGAATGCGATGCGAGTAAGTCAATGATATGCACCGCCTCCAAGCCGATATCGTCAAAATTGTGACGCTGGTGTTGCTCAGATGCTCAAGCAGGCGCTCCACGTTATCATCGTTCCTCGAAGAAGAAGAAGTTTCGATGAACAATATGTTTTGGGCCAGAGCTACCGGGTGATCTCCGTTCGAAAAAGGCTGAAATTACAGCCTCTAGGTCACGCCCGGGTGAGTAATGACAGCTTGTTGAGGTGCGGACATGACAGGCGTAGAAGGAGACCTGCATTTCGCGAATGCAAGTCTCTGAGTTCACCCCGCACAATGACGGGCCAATCCTCTCGGTGCTCCCATGTATCGACTTGGCTATCATCTCTCAATGAGATTAGGCTCGGACATACGGAAACGACGAGGTCTGCGTCCACGGGAAATTCATCATGACCTGATCGACGTCCTGGGAGTTAGCCGTTCCGCCCAACATCAGTTTTTTCAAGCCGGGGACCTGGCTAAAGCAATCAAGGATGGCCGTAGTGAATACCGTACTGCAGAGCGTCAACGTTTCGAGATTCGGCAAACTCAGAGGTGGCTCCTCGAGGTCCAGCACCATACACTGACCAAGAGAAAACATTTTTCCAACGTGGAGATGAGAGTAAAGAGTATATACAACTATCACCACATTCATACCGGCTCACAGCGCGCACACTCACACTGGGGGGTGCACACCCATAGTAGTCCATGTGAACACATGACAATAGTTACCATATTTGTACACCATGCTGATATTTCCACCACGCGCTCCTCATCCCGCCCCACTTGAGAAGATATATATTCACCGCTAACCGCCCCTAACCCCCTAACCACGAACCCTAACCCTTTCCTAACCTGCAACACTTAGGCTTCGGATACCCGAAGCCTAAGTGTTGGGCGCGCTAGCGCGCGCGGAGTCACCAACTCACCCTAACCTACCCTAACCCTAACCGGCGCCACAGATCAATTACCAATTTTGGCATCTTCATCGCACGGCAGTGTGCACCCCCGAGTGTGAGTGTGCACGGTCTGACCCGGGGTGAATGTGGTGATAGTTGTAAACACTCGAGAGTAAAAGCTTCGTGTAAAAGGCCGAGGATAGATGGCGTATAGGCGCCTGCAATGTGAGCGGCTCAGGAAGGGAATACTCCCAGACTCGGAGGAGGGGTTCTTCGTTATCAACAGGGAGACGAGGAGTACGAATCGAAAATGAGGCCCACATTGTAGGTCAGGAAATCACCATGGCGCGCCAGCGTCTGCAGACGTGCATCAGCCACCATTGGACCATGAGATAGCGGTGGAACGAGATCCTCGTCATGACCGTGAGGGGAAGGATGTGGATGGCGTGGTAATATGGCTGCATGCACGCACTAGCCGCAGCATACTCCGACTCGGCGGCGGCCGGAGAATCACGTTGACGTAGGCATCGTGTCCGGCTCGCTTTCAGCTGTAGCTACGACCTGGTGGAGGATGTCGTGTAAATCTGCTTCATTGATGAGTTTGCAGAGATAAGCCTTCAACCCGTTCCTCATAGCGAAGAGCTCTGGTGAATGAAGGCGTAGGGAGAGGGTTGACGATACAAGGGCAAGCGCTGGGCTCGTGTGAAGCGGCTGATACGTGTATTCATCAACTGAATGTTAGCTATAAACAAGTATGACGATGCTTATCAGACCTTTTGATGAATGGCCTCCGACGTCCGTTCCGGTAAAAACTCTAATCTTTACTAGCTAGTGACCCGACGGAGCCACCTCATTGGGATAAGAATCAAGATGCCAACAGATGATGACCTGCACTCTACTACTGACGCGGGGGACGCTGCGTCCCGAGAACACCTTATGAAACTGAAGACAGTCGAACACCTAAGTTCAGTGCTGCGAATGTGATGGTGAACTTAAGGTGCGGATGTGACGCAAATGTGCAGCCATGATATAATTTTGAGACATATCAACTTCAAAAAGATTTATAGCGACGAGACAGCCTAATAACCGCCTGAAGCGGTGCAGCGGTAATATCAGTGGCAGTAGAACCTAGAAACCAAACGTTCAGAATCAGTAACACGTCATGAACACACGTGGATTTAAACACACTCAAGCCGCACCGATAGTGACGGCCCGGTCAAGGAAGTCCTACCGATGGCATCCCGAATGATAAATGTTATAGCAGTCCCTGCGCATGTCAGTCAGTAACAACAAACACACCAGAGTTCGCACCGGCTGGGAGAGTGGGCACGTAGGTCAACGTGGTGCCACTTGTCGGACCAAGAGTGACGAGAGGTGGAGTGTTGATCTGCCCAGCGAGGACGATACTAGACATGCATGAGACCGGGGAGACCAAAGCAATTGAAGGGAGCGTCGTCTCACGTCTAGAAAGATTGGTTGGTTGATTGAATGAGTGTCAGCAGAACTGACTCACGATGAAGAATGGCGCTGTGAAGTAGTAGTAGTAGGACAAAAGCAGGACGTGGCAGGAGGAAACGCACGCGCAGAGCCGGAAAATGTGAGATCAACGGGCTGGCCGAAGATGACGCTGGCGCTGCAGTGAGACATTGAGCCACTGTGAGAGGACAAAAGAAAAGAAGAAAACTTGCGGGTGACAATGGCGGATCCTGCGCGAGCACGCTGGGAATGGCGATGACAGCGAAGGATAGTACTTGAGGAAGACGGATACATGATCGTGGTTTGTATTGTACGAGTCTCAGCCTTCTAACCAGAAGCTGCATTGCATGTTATTATTAGCACAGCCGCACACTACGCACTGGAGCGCCTCATTTGGCACGTACAGTCGTCGACGCGCTTCGAGCTGGCGCCACGAGCCCTTGTAATTGGGGGGTGAGCGCTTGAAGCTTACGTTCTTATCGATTTCCTCTGCCTATGACAATCTCCCCCACCTAACCAGAGACGCCTATTTGCCTGGTTAAGTTGATGGACAGTCAGCGCGAAGCAAGTCCTCAGTGCAGTGCGATCCGGCAAGAACTGCTTCCCTTGACTTGATTGGAGTGTTCTACGAGACGAAGAAGGGATGGTGGACGTTGATCATCAAGGAGACCCTGTAGAGGCGGCGCCAGAGTGCAGTGAAAGAGGTCAATAACGGCTCCTAGACGTCTGTGCTTGAACTCGTTCGTCCATGTGGTCACCACCAGACGAGTCGTCCTTGGCGCTGTCGCGTTAGCTGAGACATGGGTGAAATCGATGCACAGAAAATGGATTATTTAGTAGAGAGGTAGGTGGTGGACAGAGGCAAGAAGAGGCAACGATCGGGCCTACAACGTACAACTAGATACCTTGGTGCGACGCACAAAACGCAAACACGTACCATAATCACGTATCTGGCATGGGACACAACACAGCTAAGCGAGGTGTCAGGTCTAGATCGTAAGACGTATGCGACAATGTTAGAACGTCGACTCAAAATAAGTATCTTGGCATGACCTTTTCAACTGATTTTAGAGCCTCAACCCACATGGTCGCTTGCGTCAAGAGAAGAAATATTACCCAGAAATCCATCTAACCCGTAACAATTCACACCGTCACACAAACTCAACCGTAAACGTCTAAAATTGTCCAATGTCTTTCTACATCATACAAAACTTTCCACAACACCTTCACTCTAATAAGCAGCCCTCGAACTCGAAGCGGCCGCGCTACTAGCCGCAGCCTTAGCGCTCGTCGCATGGGTCGCGGCAGCTCGGCTGCTCGTAGCAGCTAAAGCTTTTAATCAGAACTATCACATCACGAAGAAAACCCAATGAATACACTACCAACACTGACAGACGAAGACGTCTCCTGCGCCAGAGCGCCAGAAACGGCGACGGCAGCGAGGGCAATGAACTTGATGAAGACGTGTACATCATGATGTAAGATTGGTGGTTGGTGTTTGAGTTTGTGGTTGGTGTTTGTGTTCGTGGGGGTTGACTGTGAATTGTCTTTTTTCCCAGCAACGAGTCCAACCTTTTATGCATTGCGTATTCTTAGCCATGTTCCAGCGTGCGGAGGATACCCTGGCAGCCGCACACCACAAGTGGAGGGACGAGCGCGCTTCGAGCTGTTGATTCAGGCGCATCTGGTGAAAAAGGATATGATACGGCTCAGAACGGACGATTCCCGTGGAGAGCGCGCGTGTCATGATTTCACAGGTCGGGCAACGATGTGGGACCGCAGCACGGACTTCAAGGTGGCGCTAGGCGCAAGCTTTCCAAAATCACGATATGATGAAATGACTCGCCCGGAATCGAGATTGTGCGTAGAGACTGTGCGGGATGTTGACTGAGTAAGAGCACAATTTCAGAGAAACGTTAAGTAAAAGAGGACTGTCGAAAGATCCTACTTCGGATACGGGGAATCGAACCCCGAGCTAGCGCGCAATCTTAGGGACTTGGGAGAATGCATGAGAGGCGCTAATGTTAGCCGTTACACCATATCCGACATGGCTCAGAGGCATTGTATCTTCCAAGGCCGAGCAAACCTCAATGACATTTACGTTTCTCATTCAATTTCATACTCAACGTTACTCTACACATTTTCTTTACACACTAACCTCCACTCTTCCCCTCACACCCTCCAAGCCCTTGGTCCATTCGCCAATCCTGTCTGCCAGCGTCGCGATCTGACTCGTACTAAGCACGCGCGGCTGCACCCAGCCTACGCTAACTTTTCCATCGACCTGGTCAATACTACCCCGAATCAACTTGAGCGACAGCGCCTTCATCACGAGATGCTCGACCTCTTCAAGCGGCAAGTGCGTCTCCGTCGCGATCGTAGGGAACGTGAGGTTTGCACGGCCCGCAGAAGGACGCGAGGAGACGGATTCGATGAGAGCCATCAAACAAATCTTTTGGCGCAGGAAGGCATAGTTTTCTTGCAGAATTGGCTAGGTGATCATCAGCAGGGGCGGGGAATATAGCGGGATAATATACCTCCTGTGGGAAGAGCGGTGCAAGGGCTTCGAATTTCCAATGCTTCCCTCGTTGAACGTGAATAGCAAGCGTTTGAGCCATTCGTGCGGCGTCCCATTTAACGCGTCCAGGATGGGGTGCATGAGCTACAGCTAACGTTAGCAGTGTACCACGAAATCCAAGAATACGCACCAGTTCACCAAAGTTGTATATCGTATCGCCAAGGAATGCTGAGATGCCTAGATCATGTGCGCGCGCTAGCCGCTCCTCGGGCGTCATATCCGTGGTGGGATCCACGCATGCCAGATACAGCAGCGAGTTACGATAGTATGGCGCATATTCCGCTTTGGCCTAGGATCCATAATCGGTTAATCATCCACTAGACGCAGATGCAACGCACCTTGTAGTAATCCGCGGCCAGACATAGTATGCCGCATTCACCTGGCTGTCCACGCCCTCCAGCCCATCCAGGACCTGCCACGCCTTGTCCATATCGCCCTTGGTACCTTCCAGATCGCCATACACCAGCTTCGCATGGCCAATCGTCGCGAGCAGGAGCACCTTTGCACCCTCCACCTCCGCACCCTCTCGTGGCGGTCTCTCCGTCGCCTCCGCCTTGCCGCCCTCGATACGCGTAACAGCTCCGTCAAGAACACCAAATGCGCTTGCGGATTATCGATCTCCCTAGCGACCTTGACACCCATCTCCACGAGCCTCAGCTGATTTAGCCGTCCCTCAAAGTCGCGCACGAATCGGGTAAAGACGTCTACACGGTATGGCGCCGATACGGGTGTGGCGAGAAATTCGAATAGCTTTAGAGTGAGCTGGTGCCATAATCTGCATATCGTCAGAGCGCATACAGGCGAGAGGTAATGCAACGCACTTTCGTGTGTACAACGTCCGGAAGCTCTCGAAAAAAGGATGTAGCTCTGCTGGTGTCCCGGAAAGCGCGGCCGCGATGAATTCGTCGAGTACAAACTTGGGTGCTGGGGCGTCAATGTCCATCGAGCTCGATGCCATCGCTGCTTAATGAGCCAAGTGTAAGGGATGGATGACGAGGACGCGACGACGCGCGTACCGAGCCAAACATGTGCAACACTTCGCACAGCCGCCACGTGTTCAGGTTATTCTCCGAGTGGGGACGAATAATGGCATGGAACTGTGGGATATGGTGTAACGGCTAACATTAGCGCCCCTCATGGATCTCCAAACTTAATTCAGCTTCGCGCTAGCTCGGGGTTCGATTCCCCGTATCCGAACATGTCTCTCAATTCTATATCTTTTTAATCATTCTTGACGATTCCTGGGCACACAAAATTGTTTCGTCCAAGATCAAATTACCGCGGGGGCTCTTGAGTCTTCGTGCTAAGCATCTACGCCTCCTCCGGATACAAACCCATTTGCTTCTATCCAAACGACATACATGACTGAGAGAAAAACACTTTCTGCCGTTCCCATTATTACTCACAATCAACAAGATCTGTGCATATATCTATGCGCCGAAAGGTATGCCACAATCGATTGATGATCATAAAACGCAGAGCCTGATCATCAGCACACAATGAGGGAGTACATTGCACACATTGCCCCTCACACGACGTCAGCATCGTTGGCATATTGAATCATCTCACCCATCCAGCTGAGCTTCCAAGATGTGAGCTCTCAATATTGGAGGGCCCAAAATACCCAAATTCAGAGACGAGGACATGGGATGTGATGCCGGCATTGTCGCAAACGAGGCCTAGTAAAGGGGGAGTCGTAGGTGGAGGAGAGTTGAAGAAGATGACACGTGCGTACCCACATCACACGCTCACATCCAGTTCGTCCCCACGCTCAGATATCCTGTCGACGCTTGTCAAAAACAGCAAGGTCATACTAAAGGACATACCCGGGCATAGTCGTCTATCTGTTATGAATGACCATATTTTCACACTTTCACATCTTCTCATATCTTATCGGGGGCCTTGTCTTATCAACCAACGGACTGTTTCATCATCTGTTTCGTCACCGATCATACTCCTTTTCATTACCGAAGCCGTACTCATGACGGACACACACCCAACACATGGATGACATCATACATGCCGATACCTCATGGACTCCCTATTGTATACACACCGCCGACACTCGTAGCACACATGGTCGTTTCAGTATTATTACTTACATGCAGTCACCACTCGTATTTAATGGTTTCACGGACTAGTAGCATACAACACTGGGTCAAGGGCGTGGAGCATCCCTAGTGGAAACGCGTATGGACAAGGAGCTTCAAACACAGACTTACTAGTATATAAGCAGTAGTGTAGTATCATTGTACTTTAGTTCCGATCTCGTTTATACACCTGGCCTAGCCTAGTCTTACGAACGTGAACGCTTTCTCCCTAAGTTCTTGCTGTGGTACCTGGTTGAGTCTCGTGGCTTAGTCAGTCGCTAACAGAAGATCGGAACTACTTTCTACCACCTACCACACATCCCTGATCGTCGATCAGCACTTCGCTGTTTGATCATCGCACATTCCCCATCCCCTTTCCTGTTTACAGATCGACGGAATCCTAATTCCAGCGCACGTCCGCATACGTGTGTATTGGTCCCAGTAGCGCCGGCTAACAGTTAGAGATAACTGCCTCGGGTGCTGGAAGTAGCCGCTCTCACGAGAACGAACTTTTGGCAGTTGCACTTCAGTGGGCGCTGTTTACGGGTCAACCCCCGTTCCCAGGAAAACTTCGGCTTACCTCACACCAGAGGGACGTCGGCTGGGCAATTGCGAACTTGTGACGAGCTCTTGGGCTCCGTAGATACGTAGTCAGTAGTCGGTAAAATAGTGTAGACAGTTACGATACTTACCTACTTTACTTACCTTACGATACACATCATCATTCCCCACCCTACCAAGTCCTGGATTCTATTTCAGATCTAGGCGATCCCTCCCTATTCATCCAAACCTCTATTCCCTCACCCGTTTCATCCAAATCCGCATCACCCATATCCCCACTTTCACCCTTTCAATCTCCGATCCCATCACCCCGATCCATCATGTCCAACGAAGCACCCGAAACCGCTCCTCACACACCCGCTCATCATGCCGATACCGAAATCAAAGGCCGATCCCTTGTGAACAAGCCTTACGACTATGACGGGGACAAGTCCAAGTACAAGAGCTGGTGGCGATCAATGTTCACATACATCCGTGACAAGAAGAACAACCTCACATCTGACTCCGAAAGGATCGATGTTGTTCTCTCCTACATCCGAGGAGATCACGTAGATGCATGGGTCCAGAACTATTCGGACCAGAACTTCGATGAGGAAGAAGAGGAATGGACAGTCTCTTGGACGGAGTTCAAGGAAGACTTGAAGGAGCGATTTGTGGATTCCAACCTCGCGCGAGACGCGCAAGACCAGATCGAGCGGTTGCGCCAGGGGCAAGACACCGCTCAAGACTTCTTCCAGAAGTTCGAGGTCCTGCTCACTCAGGCGGGATACTCGAAGGATGACGCATTCATCGTGAGACTTCTCGAGACCAATGTCAACGAGAAGATCATCGACCAGATCTATGGCAGCCGAGACGGGTTGCCAGAGAAGTACAAGGATTGGAAGGCACAGATCCTTCAGATCGATCAGCTGTGGAGAAGGCGGGCGGCGAGCAAGAGGTCCGGAATGCAGTCCCGGCCTCAAGCTCCGCAGGTGGCTACATCAAGAGCCAATCCTACGAACCCACCCCCGACGCCGATCACACGACGAGATGCCACCGGTGTTACCTATGGAGGAGCCGGCAGGCCGATGGACATCGACAATGCACGTCGAAGGGGACTCTGCTTCAGCTGTGGCGAACACGGCCACGTCAGCAGGTTCTGTCCGAAGAAGGGTCGACCCCAGACGATTCGGGGTTTATGGACCGAGATGAATGACGAGGAGAAGAAGAAGCTGGCCGAAGAGTTGGGTTTTGCAAAGCTCCCGCAGTAGACGCAGTCCTGCCGGAGCAGTCATTAAGGAGAGAGTCGTCAGATGCAGATTCTATTTACAGTACAGGTACTGAAACACCTAAAATATCATCGACGACTTTACCACCAAAACCTGCGAAAGAAAGATTTGAGCCAAATACGCCCGAGTGGATTGCACAACGGCTAAGAGAGGATGACGTGTCGAGAGCAGTGGGAATTTTGAGAGCATGGATGCCGGAGCGGAGAGAGAGAGAAGCGACGGAGGAGAAGGTGATGGCGATCAGAGCGTTGACAAAGGGAGCTGCGGTGGAAGTTGTGACAGAGTTGAAAAAGTCGAGGAAGTACATCCGGGGAACAAAGGGGCAGGACATGAAACTCCGAGTAACCATAGAGAGCGTACACACAGGCTCTGAATGGGAAACGAGTGCCCTTCTTGACAGCGGAGCAACGGGTTCTTGCGTCAATAAAGAATTCGTCGAGAAGAACGGGCTCCCGATCAAGGAGTTACCGGTCAAGCTCCCTGTCTACAATGCGGATGGAACCCTAAACGAGGGAGGAGCAATTGAAGGTTTTGTGGAGGTCCGGATGAAGATCGGTGATCATGCAGAAAAGATCGAGTTGGCCGTCACCAATCTTGGCAAAACAAGCATCTTTTTGGGCTAGATTGGTTACGATATCACAACCCCACGATCAACTGGACGGAATCCACGTTGACTTTTGATCGATGCCCAGACCGTTGCGGTACCTACCCGAGTATAACTCGCCGGAAGACGAAGGAGAAGATGTAGAAGAAAAGTTGGAAGAGGGAGAGCGTTTGTTCTGGATGGACTGGGACAACTATCGCAAAAGCGGTGAAAAGCTGAGATCACAACAGCCTTCATCTGCTGCTGCACCTTACATTGAGGAATTTTCCGATGTATTCAGCAAGGCGGACTTTGATAAGTTACCGGAGCGAAGACCCTGGGATCACGCGATAGAACTCACGCCTGGTTCCAAACCGGTTGACTGCAAGGTCTATCCCTTAGTCCATCCAAGCAGAAGGCATTAGACGAGTTCTTGGAGGAAAATATACGCACGGGACGCATACGGCCATCAATCTCACCCATGGCGTCACCATTCTTCTTTGTCAAGAGAAGGACGGAAGCCTTCGGCCAGTACAGGATTATCGGAAGTTGAACGACATGACAATCAAGAACCGATACCCCTTGCCGTTGATTCAGGAGCTTATCGACAAGCTGAAGGAGCAAAGGTTTTTCACAAAGATGGATGTCCGATGGGGTTACAATAACATCCGGATCAAAGATGGTGATGAGTGGAAAGCGGCGTTTAGAACAAATCAAGGGCTGTTCGAGCCATTAGTAATGTTCTTCGGACTCACAAACTCGCCGGCAACGTTCCAATCGTTCATGAATCACATCTTGAAGGAGTTGATTGACGGCGGACATGTATAGTTTACCTAGATGATATACTCTTTCTTTACAACACTCTCGAGGAGCATAGACAGATTGTACGAAAAGGTAATTGAGGATATTACGAGTAAAAAAGCTTGTTTTTTTAAAAAACCCGGAAAGGGAGCAAAAATCCTTTCCTTTCTTTTTTTCTTTTTTTTTTTTTTTTTTTTTTT